TCCGATTCCCACACTCTCAATTCTAGTGTTAAAACGGTTAATCAGTTAACCGATTCATGTAGGATATCACGGGTAACCGGGTCTGATTTGTGATAATCGGTTAACCGTCAATGTAATTAGAAGTTGAAACAAGGCATTTTTGACAGAAAATTCGTCCCTTATTAAGACTTTTAGCTGTACCTTTCTTTAGTAAATAAACATCCTGTGTTGTTTTCATTAATTAATTAATTGCATGATTACCTCGTTTTTTTTCTTTGTGGTCAAGATTATCAAGCCTCTTTAAATTTTCTTAGAACAAAACACAGGGAATTGGTCCAAATTAGGAAAAAATTTTCTTTTGCACTTATTTGCAGGTTAGTTAGTATTACCGCAAATGAGGTTTTTGATTTTTTTTTTTTTTAATCATGAGTATTTAACCGGGTAAGTAAAGGTAATTGCTAAAATTTACCCGGTTGGTAAAAATGACTAATTGTTTAAACAATATTCAATTCAGTAAGAAAACAAAGAGTCTTTCTATCCAAGTCTATTTCTTACCTAGGATCCTCTTATACTGAAGTTGTTATCCTTGTAAAAACTTTATTTCTTTCTTACATTCCAAACAATTCAAATTAGTCTTTATTAAAAGGACATTTTATGTTGAAGAAAATTGAAGTGTGACTTTGATTCTTATAAAATCGTTTTTTATTTCAGGCATAGAGAAATATATTTAGAGGACCTTTCTATGAATATAGGTTAAAAGCATACAACATCCGTCAGTTGGCCCCTTTTTGTGTTTCTGGGATGTCTCCTTTAAACTATTTTATGGGGAAAAAGATTGAGAATATTTTTGGTTATTTTACAGGGACTAAGTTCTCTGGTCATTATTTATATTTACAGTGATTTGGAGCATGAAAAACTACATATTCTTCTTACATGGAAATAACACACACGAACACACACAGTTTCGTATGTCATTCGGAGGTCAAACTGGTTAAAAAGCATGTATATGCTCTGAGGAATTCATTAGATCCAGACTCTAAAATTATTTCTCTAAGTAACAAAGTTTATGAAGCAGTAGCTACATACACTATGTATCAGGAAGGGTTAAATTATTTGGCTTTGTTTCCATTCAGGGAAGTTTTTAAAGGAACTACATCAATGTACCTATTGTTAAGAAAGGATATTTTCTTTTGGTATATTAATAAATGTAATATTTTTATTGAATCATAAAGTGCAAATATAACTAGGGCATTAACCATTGTTAAAAATTTGATGTATACTTCCCTCCAGTTATAATAATTCATGACAGTATTATGTTAATATTAGTTCAGAGCAGAAATATCCTGTCCCACCTTGCCCTCCAAACAAAAGAAAGAAACTACGTAATACTGCCATTTTGAATGATAAATTTATATGAATAAAGATATTTTGCAGTCTTAAATTTTTTTTTTAAATTTCGCTTTTTTATTAGCTTTTATTTTCAATATAGCCACTTCAGTTAGGGTCTAAAGACAGCCCTTTTAAACATTTATCAAAATAACAATAATGAAAATATTGGGAACTAAATGCTTATTATAACACAGAACTCGTTGCAGCAGCCCTTGTGAATGAAAACCATCATATAATCAAAAAAATTTACATTTTTACTCACCAATGGGTGCATTATCAATAACACGTAAATCATACGCTCCTTGATAACCAACACGATAGTTGGTCCTAGCTCCAGAATCCCATTGTACAACCACTGTTTTATCTGGAGACGTCTGACTTCCAGGCTTTCCAATCTCTACTACAGTTCCCACATGGCCTTCTCCATCGTCCTGGTTACCCCACTTCCAGTCGGGGCCTCGAACTACACGGAGACCGACTTCCATCACCATGCGTAACTATACCATATGTATTTCCCTGTAGAAATAAATAATATAGTTCAAATAAATGCTGTGATCACCTATTTAGGGCAGGGTAAAGTAATAAAAATAATCCATTATTGTAGCTTGGAGTTTTTGGTTGAATGGCATCCCAAGCTAGTGGTGGTTGGTCAGGGAAGGATCAGAACCCATACTGTGCCAACTCTCAAAAGCTACAATGTCAGAAACTTTGATACATAAAGGATTCATACCTACAACACCTAAATTCCTAGAAGATGACAATCCTAATAGTAAATAGACAAAGTATCTACTGGTATTAAAAGAACTCAAGCTAAGGAATGAGAAATCTGATTAAGTTTCAGAATTAGATATTTCCTTTGTGTTTTTTCAGCACGTTGAAGTCATACAATGAAAAAATACAAAACAAGCATTAGCTTATACAGTATGATCAGACCTTGAATACCGACACACATAAAATACATTTGGACTTTTCAGCCTGGTTTCACACCAGCAGTGATGCAAGAACGACGAGTTGACTTGAAGGCGTCAAGTAGTTAAGGATGGGACAATTAACAGGCCCATGTGTTACAGGCAGTGTATGTTAAAGGTATGAAGACAGTCACAATCAAGTTAAGAAGATATGGTACTATTATTTATAATTCAATTCACTACATGACACTTAGTCTACCTCTCTTCATTGGCTCAGACAACAAATAAATAGGAAGTTAAACATCCTATCATTTTACATCTAATAGGGATATCAATTAAAAAATATCTCAAAGGTCATTAAATATAGAAGTCTTCACTGGTTTTATCAATGTCATACTTAATGGAATGAAACTAGAATTCAGCAGGGACACAACATGTGTAATAAAGCATAGCATATCAACAACTGTATATCTGTGAAAATTGGTGATGTGTTCAATGTCGACATCAATTTAAGTGATGTCAGTAAGAAAAATTTGTGATTCCATTTGCTGACATTCCAACTTTTTATGGAATGAGAGGTATTGCTTCACAACCTCACGATACAATATGCGTATTGTCGATTGTTGTATTGCAATACATCGCTATTACGTGCCAGCCCTAATACAAGATGCAGATCTAACCAATCAAATTCTCTGTTCAATAAGCTTAAAAGATGTACACAATACATATGTGGGATGTTCATCTTTGTCTGCCTTCCTTGGCAGTAATAAGAACAAATTTCTACACAATTGGTCAAAAATTCACAGAATATTATTCAAAGGAGGCCTCAGCTGCAGAAAAAAAGCAAGAAGTGAGACATACAGATCTGCCTGATTAATTGGATAAAACTGAAAACTTGTAAACTTGTTTTCACAAAATAGGTTGCATTTTTTCACTACAAGAGCTTTACTTTTTAAAAATCCTTTTAATATAACTGTTGCCCTTTCAAAACAGTCTTGATTTTTAATTCCTTTTTTTACCCATGACATCAAGTCTTTACACTACTCTTCTATGTAAGACTCTTTTTTCATTTTGCTATATTGACAATGGACATTTGAATAAAATTTGTAAAATTCTGATTATAAAGTCTAATAAGCTAGCTCAAGCAAGCTGTCAGTTGTCATTTTTTCCAGTTATGCCCTTACTATAGATATTGGTATGACACACTTTAAATAGAAAGCATAGTATTTGATTTCTTATTAATCATAGCTTACATACTTGCTTGTTTTCTCAAAAAATCTTACAATTTTCAAAAAACAGCTGAGCTGTCAATTGTAATTTTTTGAGTGAGGCCCATTTTCATTGAAATGAAATGGAGTTTAACTTGTTATATTCTACTTGTTAGAGCTCCTTCGTATGACACACTTTAAATTGAAAACACAGAGTACCGGTATTTTATTTCATGGAAATGCAGATAGGCCTGCGAGTTTACAACAGTAACTCAAAAACATTACAGAACCCACCAGGCCTAATGAAACGAGGGAAGTGATATTGCCACTGTCACTGTCAGTCATGAAGTTCATGAGTCTTAACTTAATCTCTAATCATTTTAAGCCATAGCCATAAGGCTACTAATTAAGCTGTAATTGAAGGAAACAATGGGTGATTAGGCAAGGACTGCTCTTTAATTACTAATTTAGCCTTCTGCAAATATAGATTTTACATGGATGTTCCTTTCTAATGAGGAGTGCTAACTATTACTAACTACTGACAAAATGAATTTGTCAAAAATAAACAAACAAATTTTGTCTTAAACTTTTCATCAAGCAAGCTAACTAACTGACAACATAACTCGTCCTGTAGCTGAAACAATAATTTTATGAAAATTTCATTAGAATATGAAAATAGGACACTCACATCTGTAGAAATCTAAAATCAATTTCTCAGTCGAAGTTTACTAATTTTTGTTCAGGATCCATTTAGGATTTGACAGTTCCGCAACCAAAATAGTCTCGCTCTTGATTGGTTGAAATAAAATCGAGCACGTGAAACGAAAAAAATAAAATAAAATGAATGAAATTGCGTTGTTATTGAATAAAAAGCAGGAAAAAGTGAGAAAAATTTAGAATTCGACGACTGGGATATTATTTGACGGCCAAAGACAAAAGCACCTGTGATTTCGGGCTTTGTTGACGGCTGTTCCTACAATGACGTAACCCCCCTCCGCATTAATGATTACCCCGATTCAATATTTCTTTGTTATTACAGTCACAAATCGTCGGCTCCAAATCTAAAGAAAATTGCGGAAATGGTTAATATTTTTGTTGAGAATAGATTTATTTAAGAAAAATTGGAAAATATCTTTCAAGCTCAAAATTAGGGATGGAACAGAAGGGCGAATCTGCATTATTAATTTGAGGAGGACGGAAAGGGTGGCAGTCTGTTTACGTGAGAATTATTAGCCAAGAGTAAACATTTGAAATTTTTGATTATAGGAGTATTTTTTAATCAAAACAATGAAAATATGTTGGTTTTAGGATTAAATTTTTGATCAAAATGTTTTTAAATGATGTTTTTATTGCAATTTATCCGGGAATTGAGATAGACCGTTTTTCCATGTGAGCCTCATTTTGACAGCACTCAAAGTGCAGCGGGGGAAAATCCTTGGTAGCCATTTTGTGAGATATTGTAGAGAAGAAGGAATACTAGTGTGGATTTTACCTCGTTTTATCGCCTTCCTCCACAATGGGGGAGACGAAAATTATTTATCACATCGACGACGAGGATACCCCGTATTTGATAAAGCTTCCAATCCATGCGGATTTAGTGACTTTAGGCGATTTCAAAAATGCTTTGAATCGACCAAATTATAAGTTTTTCTTCAAATCTATGGATGATGATTTTGGGTAAGTGTCTACAATATATTACAATGTTGCAAGTTAGAGGAGGCCAATGACGATGATATATCATGGGTTACTGGTCAATATCCAACTGATATTGCCCTTATGTGAGAGTTGAATTTGTAAACAATGTATAACATTATTGCAAATTGTAGCACAAAGTGATAAATCAAAGATGAGTGTATGGCATCATGTACGTTATCTTTTCTCCAAATAGGCTTCTACCATTCGCCATTTAAGAATTCTAACCATGTGAATTTTGATTCATGGCAAAATCAGGATGCAAAATCAGGTTCAAAACCTGCAAACTATATTTCATCTACTAAAACGCCAGCTTGTAATTTTGTTTAATCAAGTGTGACGGTATTGTCATATTACAAAAAGTGTCATATGGCAACCCCTGGCCTAGGTTTTCCATCATAATTTGGCAGGGGAGAACTATGTTTAGAGCTCAATTTCTCTTTGGATACAAAGGCACTTCAAAAATCAAGCAGGAATTAGCTCCAACCTCTTCTCCCCCTTGTAACAGCTTTCACTTATTTCTGAATACATACATCCTTGATTTTTATTCCCTGATTTATTCTGATAATTTGGAAATAGGGCCCATGGTCTTCTTAAATAAAAAGGGTACCCTATGAGAATACTATAAATTGGAAATATTTTACCCTTACTTCAAAAGAAGAATACTTTCCTTATTATAAATATTAGACATGTCATTGATGTTTTTGAGCATACTTTTACATGTCTATTGGGGCACATCCATCCATAAGAAAACAGGTAGTTGTCATGCCCTTTTTACATTTTTCTGTAAATTGGATTTTTGACTTTAAACAGTACATTTTATATTTAATCAAAATTCACTCCCAGTTTTTCAAAACTGATATTCTAATTCACTATATAAAAAATACAACAAAATTCATTGAAAATTGTGACGATTGGACAGTAACATTGAATTTCAGAATCTGGCTGAAATATTTCAAATATGGAGTGACTTTTGGATAGTTTTTGTCACCTGGCCTTAATGAGGGATTATTGAAAGTGTAAGGGTAATAATTACTAGATTGATTAATTATTCCTCTAACTGTTACAAATTCTCACTATTCATTTAACAGGGATTGCTTTTATCTAGGTTGGTAAGTGTTGGATAAATTGATGCCACAAATTGATTGTTCTTTATTTCTGCTAATGCCTGCATTTCCGAGCATCCATTTAACCCCCTCTGCCTTTGAGAAGATAATATTTTACGTATAAAAAAAATAACTAATAATAAGTATAAGTATATAATGAATAATGTGCGCCTTGAGAAATTCTACGAGGATTTAATTGCTGCATTATTTTTTATTATTATAAGTATTACAAATCAAAGAATCTTCTTAAAACTCCTATGTAAGACGCTTGCCAAAGTTACTAGATAGCATGCCTAAAAATTTGTTGAAATCAAGGAGAATCCTGATGGACTCTCACAGTGATCTCCAAGTGTCCTCCGAATGCTTATTAATTTAGATTTAAAAGATCATAGGATAGGATAGATTTTACGTGACTGGTTATAGTATAAACAATATCTCATAAATTGTGAGATCATTAAACGTGTAACAGTTGATTTCCGTAAACTTATCGCTCATATTAGATTTCTGACAGTTGTCTGTCTGGTGCTGACTAGTTGATTAAGCTGTCTGATGATATCATTAGAGGTGATCTCATCATGTCCTTGGGTCATGAATAAGACTGCAACAGTTAAACATGTAAACGAAAAGTTAAGACCAGTGCCAATGAACATTTAGAAAATGGACAATTGTTTAAACGAAAAAACGTTTAAAAGACGTAAAAAAAAATAGCAGAAAACACTGCCCGACTGCCCAAGTCAAAATTCGTAAAGTTTCTTCCCTCTGTCATACAATATAACATGAAGTAAATGTAAATAGTTTTTGTATAGAAACGTGATATTTTACTTTTGTATTTTCGAATTGCCGACTTTGAAACTGGAATCGAATTGAAAAAAAAATAGGTCAAGTCTACTGAAAAATCGCCACAATCCGTATAAACGGTACTGTTTCGATTAATAACTTTCGTGTATACGTTTACACAAAGTGGCTTTACTAATAAAACATCTGAACTGGGTACTGGACAGAGTTAGATCCTCTCTTAACCAAAGCCCTATTTACATTCTGTCGCTACAAAGTGTTCCATTCTTAGTCTAAAATCCCAAAATTTTTACCGTTTACACCACCAAAATTATGAGCCTTCAGAGAACAGATCTATAATAACAATGTAATCAGTCTTCTGTTCTCAGATGTATTTTAATGGAACTCTTCTTGAAGGAGGTAATTATAGACCTGAGTGGTCTTGAATTGGAACTATTCACTGAAGGCTTGACTAACACAACTCAGTTTTCATCCTTGGAACTGTTGTCAGAACAGATAATTTTTATGATGTAAACTGGACCCTAGGCTTGGGGTGCCACTCAGGTTCAGATCCAGACCAGTGCCTCAGTTCCTCTTGGCCCATTTAATGATTTTCATGAGATTGTGATTGTTTACACAATTTTGACAGGTCTAAAGTATTAAAGTCAGACACATTTCAAAATGTCTTTAAAAATTTTAAAGTTACTTGACATATTTTAGTGGTAATCTGAACAGATTTAGACAGTAGCCTCCGGAAGCAATATAAAATATATTCAGAGCTCAGTGTCAGCTTTCAATCCCTGCAATCTATTTAAAAGTTTAAAATCTATCTATTTCAGGGTGGTAAAAGAAGAGATTATTGATGATGATGCCAGATTACCATGTTTCAATGGCAGAGTGGTTTCTTGGGTAAGTATTTTCATTTTAATCTGCTATATCATGTGTTAGGTCTAAATGTAGGACAGTTGCTTATTTCTTTGGTGAGAATTTGTCCAGTGAGCAAATGCCAGTAACCGAACTAGGGACAATATTATCAATATCAATGTCAAAATTCACCATAACATGTGGCTATAGATGTGGTAATTATCATTTATCAAATTTACTTCTGATAAGAGTCATCCTTGATATTCAGTCAAGTTCCCTCATTCGACACTGCATGGCATAGTCAGTGAGCCAGTGGCAGAGCCAGGTTTCTGTCCGAGGGGGGAAGAAATATCTGAGATTGTCTGAATTTATAACCAAATTCAGAGATTTTTGCCCAATAAACTTGCTTTCTGGGGCTGCGAGGGAGTCGGCTGCCCCATCTACCCCCCTTTGGCTCTGCCATTGGTCGAAAAAAATGGAGCAAAAATGTTCATTAACTTATTTATTCCACCCTTTCACATATACTCTCAGGTTCATTCATTCATTCCTTTCACATGCTCGTTCATTCATTTCATGGCATGCCTTCATTCATTCCAACTGACATTTTGACACCTACTTCCTGTATATGAAATGATAATAACTAGGGCCATTATTTTGTTATTCACACCAATTCAGGGCCATTATCATTTCAACTGCCCACTGGCCAGCTATTGAAGACTGATTATAAAGGCCTATATTTTGTTAACAAAATGTTTTTACTAATGTAGATATATTCCTTATATTAAAAACTAGTACTTATGATTTCAAAGGAGGTTGTCAAGCTTATGTATGCATATTGGGATTGTAAAAGAGGTTTTCTAGACTTTTTATGTGCATCAGGAACACTGATTTTCACCATATCTGACTTCACAATTGCAAAAATTACTTATTAGCAGCTTTTTCCTTGTTGATATAGTATTCTTAAAATGGTATCATATTTTGAGGTCACTTTTTGATGAGCTTCACAGATGTAAAGTGATAAAAACTAAGCATAATTAAAATCTGACAAAATAGAGCAGAAAATATTAAAAGTTACAGAAGAGCTGAGATAAAAGGTTTCATCTCATTAGGAGAGGTGTAATATAGGCAAAAATATGATCCCAATCCTTTTCATAATGGCTTAAAAGATTGTCAATATAATATAAACTAAATTCTTTTACTTTTGGTACTTAGTGAAATTAGTGAATAAAATATAATTTAAACAAAATTCTTCTTTTAACTTGCATAATTTGAGTAATAAGGAAATGAAATATCTCTTAAGAAAATTCTGTAACTCAACGTAATTTGGGTAATTTGATGTTTTCGTATCTAGGTTTGAATCTAGGTATAAAAACTGCCAGCCTGTAAGAAAGAAGCAGTTGAATTACCTCTATCATTTCTTCTATTACCTTTCACTCTTGCCTTTTTACTTTAATCTTCCTACTTTGATGCCGACTGTAAAACAATAAACAAACTTTAGAATAACATTAATAGGCAGGTTTGGGTTTGCTAATTTTACCACACAGAAGTTGAAAAAGGTTAAGTAAACCGAAATGGGATTATATGTTCCACATAAAAACTAACTTATAGATGAATTATTTCTTAGATTAATGAAGTTTAACCGAAAAAAGGGTCCTATCCAATGTGGATGGTATGAGATCATTTCTTTTCAGTTTTAAAAACATAAATTGATTTTAAAGAGGTTTTTTTATGTGTATCGAAGACACAGGTCTGGATTTGCACAATTCCAATTTTCAATCAGATGTATGTAGTTCGGGCAATACCACTAAAACTAGGCGTTTTAAGACGTGACTAAGATCCTTATATATCATTAGCAGCTTTTGCGATAGTCGCTTCATAAAATGCTAGTTTTTTGTGGCATTGCATGAACGACAGACGTCTGACTAAAAATTGAAATGATGATATCAGTGTCTCCAAGATCCATAATAAGGTTAGAAAACCTTTTTACAATCCCTTTTAGTAATCCAGCCAGAAGGTTTCAGTAATCTGAGAAAGTGGACTTCAAAGACAAGAATTAAGAAATTTGTTTTGTCAAATAACTCGAAACATTTTTTATGTTCATTTATTGTAATGAGAAATCTTTCATGATTTTAGAAAAACCAAACTATATCTTGAAACAGTTTTATTACATCTTTGTTAGTGATTTATTTAAGAGTTGTAAAAACAGAGAACTGGGTCAGTTCCGATATAGGTTAGTTCTGTGTGATGCCAGTAGACTTTTATTATCTTGCACTTACTAGCAACATATAGATATAACACTAAACCTTAAATACTGTGCAGAGGTTATGAAGCTACAATTTCAAATTTTGTGGTCTGTTTAAAGTGGTGAATTATCTTATATGAACTTGAACATAGTCCTTATGACTAAAGTCATTATGAATAAAAAATTAATCAAGTGTAGGACAGTTGATCACTGGACAATTGATCACAATTCAGTTGATCCTTGGAGAATTGCTTATAAGACAGTTGATCAAAGGACAAACATTTGCTGACAAGACAACATACAGTTGCTCATCGTATAGTTGCTCACAACCAGACAGATGCTCACATGACAACAGACAGTTGGTCACAGTATAGTGGCTCACCAGATACCGGTCAATTGCTCACCAGATACCAGTCAATTGCTCACCAGATACCAGTCAATTGCTCACCAGGCACCAGTCAATTGCTCACCAGGCACCAGTCAATTGTTCACCAGGCACCAGTCAATTGTTCACCAAAAACGATACAGTTGCTCCCCAGACAAAAGGACAGTTTCACACAAAATTTTTATAATATATTTCTTATCTGTTCATATTCAATTTATCAGACCTATGGCGAGCATCTATCTTGTGAGCAAGTGAATTGTGGGCATCTATCCCTTGAGCAACTGACTTGTGATCAACTGTCTTGTGATCAACTGAATTGTGAGCATCTATCCCATGAACAACTGTCTTGTGAGCATCTATCCCATGAGCAACTGTCTTGTGAGCATCTATCCCATGAGCAACTGTCTTGTGAGCATCTATCCCATGAGCAACTGTCTTGTGATCAACTGTCTTGTGATCAACTGAATTGTGAGCATCTATCCCATGAACAACTGTCTTGTGAGCATCTATCCCATGAGCAACTGTCTTGTGAGCATCTATCCCATGATCAACTGTCTTGTGATCAACTGAATTGTGAGCATCTATCCCATGAACAACTGTCTTGTGAGCATCTATCCCATGAACAACTGTCTTGTGAGCATCTATCCCATGAGCAACTGTCTTGTGAGCATCTATCCCATGAGCAACTGTCTTGTGAGCATCTATCCCATGAGCAACTGTCTTGTGATCGACTGTCTTGTGATCAACTGAATTGTGAGCATCTATCCCATGAACAACTGTCTTGTGTGCATCTATCCCATGAGCAACTGTCTTGTGAGCATCTATCCCATTAGCAACTGTCTTTTGAGCATCTATCCCATGTGAATACCCCAATTCAACCAGACATTTGAGAGCTAATAGTCATAATAAAATATCCGACAAACAGCCCTAACTGTCATAAATTCCAACTGTTAAACGCAATGCCTTATCAGACTGAAATAATATTTCTGCTGTTTTTTTAACATTTAAGTATTCCAAGAGTAAAATTTTCTGGCTTTTTGGCTTTTAATCAATTTTTAACTGAGAGATTTTAGATAAATACACTTAAAATATACTGAAGTATTTTTGTTACTGAAGAATTTTTGTTAAAAGCATAAAATAATGGTCTGTAATTTGTAGGAATTTCTGAAAGAACTTTCAAAAACAAATGATAAGAAAACAGCTTCTCAAAAAATTTTACAATTAAAGTTTTAAGTGTGTTAATTCTCTTTGAATTATTCTTCATTAACAACAAATTTCTATAATAACATTTTTTTGAGGCAGAGTCAAAGACAAGACTATTTTGTAAAGGTAATAAATAGCAAATGGTTTTAATTTCGAGTTAGATTGCCATGATGGATACTTCTTTGACCGACCTAGTTGGAGAATGACTGTGGGTGCTTTGGAAGGATACTTGGAGACAGATTGACATAGACGTGTTCTTGATTCTGAATACAGTTATATTATGTATTGTAATTGATATTATAGATAAAAAAAATATAAATATTGTTTTAATCACATTATAAAAAATTCCGTAATAAAAATATTTAAATTTTGATAATTTTCAATCAAGGAATAATCTTTTACTTTGATTCATAAAGAATCCAAAAATATTAAAGGGATTGTGTCTTTCTGATTTTTTTTTATATATCTGGGACACTGATAGCATCGATTTGCACCATTCCAATTTTCAAAGATTTTCTGTGGTTCCTGCAATTCCACTAAAACTAAATGTTTCTAATCACAAAGTGCCTTATGTGATAAAGCATATTTTCGATTAGTGCCACCATCAAACATTTAGTCTTTGTGGAAGTACAGGAACCACAGATGTCTGATTAAAAATTAGAATGATGCAAATTGATGCCATCAGCATAAAAGATTAGAAAAACCTTTTTAAAATCCCTTTAAATATACCAGTACCAGTGTAGACTTCAAATATTTGATGAAAAAAAGCTTCTGTTATGTTGTATTGAATGAAAACCTATGTGTGTGTTTGTTGTGTGTGTTTGTTCTGTTATAAAAGATAGTTTTGTAAACTGTTTTTGTATTCAGGTCTGTGTTTTAACTCAGAGTTCTAGAAGTGAACAGGAACATAATGAGTGTATTATGATGTCAAGTCATAAAAGCGTGAGGCTTTATATAACATAAGACCTCTATTAACACCCAATAATGCATCATTGGTTTTTACGATCCTTTAATAATACAACAGAGTTATAAAATACACACAACTAGATTTGTTTGAAATTTTTTGCCATGAACATCAAAGCTAGTTTGTTTGGCATTAATTGACCTGTGTTAAAGTTGAATCTGGCTTGTGGACGAGACACCTGATACCATTTTCTAGCGAGTTAATTAATATTTAATAAAACAGGCTGTGGTTGATAAGAGATCTGTTTGTTTGAAGCAGGGTTCAGTGAATACAGCAATCTTGACACAAAAACTTCGTCAAGGAGAACTACCCTTGGTGCACAGTAGAAGTTTGGACTCCCAGGGTGTCATAAACATTCTCTTATATAACATTATTATTTAAGTTGTCAGTTTTCATCACAAAATCATCAGCTGTTAATATTATCCTGAAATGAGGACAATCTTATTAGCCCATGTACATTTGTTTGAGAGTACCAAAATTGTGATGCCAGTATCGCAAAAACCATTGAAGGAAAATGGTGTATATGAAAGGGACGTCACAGTATGATCATCTTTTACTGGAATTACAGGAACCACAGACAAAAGCCCCACTTTACACCTCACATTGGTAGTCTCAAATTCTGAAAAAAATTTCAAATACTAGTTACTATACTGAATATCTTATTTATAAAAGAACAGTGTTTTCAATTCGCTTTCAAAATGAATGCTCTAAACTCTACTGCATTTGTAATTCTTCTTTTCCTTTGAAATAATGAAAGTGGGGTGTTTAAAAGTGAATTTGAGGACATTGAAGTAGATGAAAAGTTGATCAAACAGCACAGAATCCATCAGAGAAACAATTATTCTCATATGGAATTCTTTTTAACTGTCGTTAAGCACTAGATGAAAGCAGTATGTCGGCCATTTTGTTTTGAAGGTGACATTAAAGACCATTACATGTAACCAAGTTCTAAAAGATGGTTTCTCATTAAAAAGATGGAAAAATAAAGATAAAAGACTTGCCAAGACTCTCACTTTCTCATCCTTGGAATTGAAGGTTGTTTTATTTTCAAGATGAAATAACTCTTTGTTATTTCTTGAAATTCTTACTTAAATCAAGCAATATATATTTTAAAACTAACAGTTCTGTTTTGAAATTTAAGATCAAACTGGACCCCTGTTGTATTTGCTTATCTCTACACTAACAACAGGTAAGGCCTAAATCTCATGGTTAAAACTTTGAACTGGAATTTAGCAAGACATAGACCTACTCTATTTAGCGAGACATAGGCCCATTCTATTTAGGGAGACATAGTCTATTTATTGAGACATAATCTATTTATTGAGACATAGTCTATTTATTGAGACGTTGTCTATTTATTTATTGAGACATAGTCTGTTTATTTATTGAGACATAGTCTGTTTATTTATTGAGACATAGTCTATTTATTTATTGAGACATAGTCTATTTATTTATTGAGACATAGTCTGTTTATTTATTGAGACATAGTCTGTTTATTTATTGAGACATAGTCTATTTATTTATTGAGACATAGTCTATTTATTTATTGAGACATAGTCTGTTTATTTATTGAGACAAAGTCTATTTATTTATTGAGACAAAGTCTATTTATTTATTGAGACATAGTCTGTTTATTTATTGAGATATAGTCTATTTATTTATTGAGACATAGTCTGTTTATTTATTGAGACAAAGTCTATTTATTTATTGAGACAAAGTCTATTTATTTATTGAGACATAGTCTATTTATTATTTTTATTTATTGAGACATTTTTAGTCTATTTAGTTAGCGAGACATAGTCTATTTAGCCACTCCATAGTCTATTTAGCGAGACATAGTCTATTAAACATTTAGCACAAGGAACCCCGACGATTTTACTATAGTGTATGACATGAATTTCATCCTAACAATGCCAAGATTATAATAGCTCAAACCAGTTCCTTTGGTGCGGTGCTTCAGATTGAATGCCGAACCAGTTTAATTCCATATTCACTAGAAAAATTTACTATACCAACAACAGTGCAAATTGAGTACTTTCTTGACAAATGATGTAGAATGAGAGTTTTAATACTAAAACCTCCATTTAGATTTTGTTCAACTGTTTGATTATTTTCAAGAATGAAATGAAATTGTTCAATTTATTACCATCTTGACTTTATATATTGACTAAGCTTGTGTTATATATTCCCAAGGCCTGTTTACTATTAATATAACAGCTCTCCTAGACAGTATGATATATATACAGCAGGTGATAGGCCAATCAAATAAATAAATAGTTTTTTTTCCAGTATGTAAATAACATAATAAGATTATATAGGTATAATGTAGTAGTGTTATATATTAAAAACTGTGAAATAAATGCTTGCTCGCTAACCTGAAGGTCCAAGGTTCAATCCTGGTTTCCCCTGTTAGTGATGAAGGTAAAACGGGCTGACATGGAAAAAGCATCTAGTCGTTTGGATTGGACAATAAACCAATGCCCCATGTGCATGTTATAGATCCCTGGGCAGTTTGAAATCGAACATGAGCAGGCTAATGCTGCTGTTCTGGCAAAATTTCCCTCATTGCACCCAGCATGGTGTTGTCCGTCTTAGCCCAAATGGTGCAGAAAAGTAGGACGTAAAACTCCATTCATTTCATTTCATTTATTAAAATTGTGGTTAATGTGCTTAGAACCTTTCTGTTAAATTTAACAAATTAAGTCCGAGAGAGTTTTCAAATGTCTTTGATGAACTATGATTTCAAATCAGCTAAATATTGAATTCATATATTGCATTTACAAATAACTCATAAATGAGTACATGACTAAAATCATGTACTGTTATTTAATGTAGTACTGAAAAATTTTACATTACAAACAGTTAGTGATGTGACTAGACTACTTTATTATGATTTTTTAGACAAAATTTGATCTTCAATTGAAAAAAGTTAGTACATGTTTGATCTCTTTCTATTTCATATAGAAATTAAAGATAACTGAGTGACAAGGAGAGACAGGTTAACTGAATACTGACATAGTAGAGAAGATAGCTTATGATTCATAAGCCTGTCTAGATGCTATAAATTGACTCGTGTTCATAATCTACTTCTTCAAAGCTCATAAATTCTACAATAATACTCTATAATATATTACCTTATTTATCTTCAATAGATCTTTTCTCCAGAAATATATGAAGATATAAAGCACCCATTTCTCACACCTTTGTGGATAGGGAGGGGGGTGTGTTGGGGGGGGGGGGGGGATTTTGATGTGTTCAGTGTGGTTACAGTCAATAAACACCGGACTATTAGAGGCTAGAGATCTGATACCCACTATAGAGTTAATGATCTCAATCATATTTTTACCTACAGAACATTGTTTACCTATTATCAGACTGTTAAACACTTACTGATAGTACCAAACTGACTCATTCACTCTGTAGTACAGTCACTATAGATGAAATAGGTTCATCAGGGTTTCATTTCAGGTGGGAGGCCTATGTATGAGGGGTGGGGCAAAAATGACATGTGTCTTTAGAGGCAAGAGCAAAATCCTTTTGAGATGGGGGGTTAAGGGGCTGCTAGATAAGAAGCCCAACAGATTTTAGTTTTTAGTTGGCCTGTGATGTATTTGGGCTTTTAGAGGGCTTAATTTCAAATTCAAAATAAGACGATCCAAAGAGAGTCCATGGCTCAATGGTTCACCCCCCTAAATATACCACTGGCTATGGCATAACAACAATTTTTGAATCCTTGTGTGATCTACTGTGATAAGTGTCACTAACAAGGCAGGGTATGCTTATATCACTAACCAAATAATGACTTATTTTGATGAAGTCATTGGTAGAAACCTTAATACCGTTCATAGAAAAATTGAAGAAATCAAACTATATTAATCTTACTGTAGCAGTGTCACTAGCAAGGCAGATCATGCTGTTCCTTCTAGAATACCTGATGCTGGGTTTGTCAACTAGTCTTCCCTTTTGGAGCTAATATTCATGTAGCTAATATTGTGTTATTTGATAGTCTAACTAAATTAGATCCTACTGTGATAGACTGTTACTTATATATATTACAATTATTGCAGTCAAGTGATACTATATTCTCTCCCATTAAACTCCTATTTTAATGTTATTATTTGTTTAATTTCAGTTGGTGCCAGCAGATACTTCAGACACCCAATCCCAATGTACAGATTCACAGGCTGGAGATGTGGTACAGCTACCAGCTGAACGTCTAGGTGGCATTGGTGATAGCAGACCTCCCTCTTTTCAGTAAGTTTTATTGTTCTTTGAAATTTTTATGAGTCAAAGGGGTGGCTCTATTGGTTTGTTCTAGATGTTAACTAAAACAAGTTAAACAGTCATAATGTTTACAGCCTTGCTGTCGAGATCTCTGATTGGCTGTATTCACTGGCGTACAATTCAATCAAATCACTGCATTGATGGCTATTGCAGTCAAGGTATAAGAAAAAGCTTGTAATAGCTTGACATTGTGAAGATGTGCATCTTCATCCTGTCAGTTCTCAGACAATCAGGGTGACTGTTTTGTATTTCAGTGCGAATGCGTCAGTTGGAAGTCGAGATGAAACCTGTGATACATGTACAGAAACTGAATCAGTTATTAGTGCTCGTAGAGGTAGGCATGATTAATATTCTTTCAATTCTTTCATACATAACTCTGTACAGTTGATAACATACATCATTATATTCATATTAACATAAATAATTACAACTTCATTATTTAGGGACTTTTTCAGACATCTTGAGGTATCTTTGATGCTTTTCCACTCGTCACCTTACAATTGCTACAGCACATAACATATTAATTAGTCGACAAATTCATCTGCAAAAAAATAAAATGAAAGCAAAAGGCACATGGTGAATAATTTCAAAACATACTGACAGCTGAGACATCCTAACACTGCAAAAAAACTAGGGACAAAGTTCTGAGAATGAGTCCAAACTCTCTCCCCATTCCCTGCCTCTCCACCCCACCTCCCATCAATAAAAATGCTACTGTCTTAAATAAACAAAAAGGTGAAACTATCTTCTGTCTATTACTTGCCAATTATTATGTAGGACATGTAGTATTGTGTTTACCTACTTGTTTGATAAACTCAGTCACTTTAACCTTGTATCATGTTAGTCCCCTGACAGTTACACTTGTTTTGTCATCTGATAGCAGGACTTAAAGGGATGAGGACATGTCATGTTTGTCAGTGGGCTGGTGGTATAAAACCCTGAGTTATCCATTAGAGGTGAAGTTTCTATGGACTACTAAATTTAATCGAACCGAATTATTAATTTGGAAGTATACTTTGTGATATCAATTTTAAGGAATAATTTTTTTAACAAAATGTGTCTGCGCAGTATTTTGTTGAGTTCCTCCAAATTCTTAGCTATTTCTGTTTGACATTGATGCGATAAATGTACTACATGATTCTTCTATTATTGGTATCATTTGTAAGCATTGTATTATTCCAGTCTTTCCAGAATTTATTTTGTTGTAATTTCTCTTTGCACACAGCAAAGTACATTTTAGTACACTTTTAATTAATTTACAATTGATGTAAAAGAAATATGTTCTCTTCTTATGATCTTGGCCAGTGCTTCTATAGGAGAATATCTTCTATAACATCTAACACCAGGAGAAAAGATTTACTGATAGTTTTTATGAAGTTGGCACCCCCACCCCCTTTTAGAGAAAAGTGGGAGACAGTTTTTAAGTCATTATGTAATTGAAGAACAATTTCTATAAGATTTACTATTTACAGTGTAAATACATGATAGATATAAATTACCATTTAACTTTATTCAAATTCTACTTCAATACACCCCTACTTCAGTATTAAACATTACTTTCAAATAACAGGGCAAAGTTTAAAAAAGGGCACCTGTTAAAAATTCACAATTATCTTTTGATTTTGTGCAAATTTTATACCAAGATATTCCAGATTTTGTCTATTGTGGATTATTATTTTGAATTGTTAAAAGAACTCAGACAAAAAAAACATTTCTAGTTATCAAATAACATCAACTCCCTGTCCCCTAGATGTTTCCCTCTTATAATGCTCCTATGTCTCCAATTGACTGAGTTAAAAAGATTCCCTTGACTTCTATGCCATTATTTGGCTGAGTTAAAAAGATTCCCATGACTTGTATGCCATTATTTGGCTGAGTTAAAAAGATTCTCATTCTTTGTAACTCAAATCTCTCGTATATTACATGAACATGTCTACTTACTTTTCTCCTTGGCCTCTGCTTTCGTGATTTCAATTGTTTATGCTTTTACAACCTCTTGACTTTCTAGTATATATTCTTATAAATATTACAAACTTTAACAAAACATTTTAGAAAGGACAGCACAAAAATGTGAGCTAATTTACACAAAGATGGCATAAACACATGAATGGACTTCACGAAAACATGTTACATTCATGCCTACTTCACTCAGAATTAATTGCCAAAGCCACATAGGAGTCCACTTGATTATCACATAATCAAAATACATAGCACAAAGAAGATATAAGTGTCCATATTAACATAAACATACATAAAAACCTGCTTGTTTAAACCATTTTAAGGGATTGTAAAGAGATTTTCTAAAAACAAATTATGTGTTTGTGGAACACTGATAGCATCAAATTGCAACATTCCCATTTTCAATCAGATGCCTTGTTCAAACTTGTGTTTGATGATGCCACTACTCGCAAAGTGCCTTATGTGATAAAGCAGATTTCGCGTTGAGTGACGTCATCAAACAATTAGTCTTAGTGGAATTTCAGGAACCAGACGTCTGATTGAAAATTGAAATGGTTGAAATTGATGCTATCAGTGTTCCAATACAAATAAAGACTAAGAAAAACCACTTTACAATCCCTTTAATACAAGGTGCATGTAAAATAATAACCATTATAATCATTTAATTATTGCTTTATATTTTATTTAAATCTTATTTTAAAATTGTTTTTATTTACTAAATACGTATGAATATTGCTGTATTATCATATGCTTATCCTGTCCTATCGTTTATTTGGTCTTTTCTCCTCTAACTTGTAGATCGAATACCAAGTCGAACTTCCCGGCATACTAATGGTAGTCAACGCTACCTCGCTAACGATCATGGTAAGATATATGTCATGTGATGTCCACCATTTTTAATCCCATAATGCACTTCCTTACGCACTTTAAACTCACTTTGTTATGTGTTTCATTTACTATTAGCTTTTATTTGTATTGCATGTTTTATAT